CTAATCAAAGTGCAAGAAATTCAAAATACTAATAGAAGCAGAGAATTAACTGCCCATAGCCATCAAGAACTCACCCTCACAAACCACATCCGCTCCTACATATGCCTTCCCTTCCATTTTTGCAATTCCGAAACGTTTTTGCAGCTTGATCAGTGTCATTCTCATTACCAAAGTATCTCCGGCCACCACTGGCTTCCTGAACCTCACTTTGTCTACTCCAGCGAAAAAGAAATTCTCCCGGGAGCCTCCCACTTCAGGTTGGAGCATAACTATGCCACCAACTTGTGCCATTGCCTAAATTAAACAGAAATGGACACCCATCAGAATCTAATAACGAAACAACAAAAGTGAGGCAACCAAAGAACAAAAGTAAAGGGAAGAAATGAGCTTGTCCATTTTACTAAGGTAAAGGAAAGAGAAGATAATTGTGACTGGTCTTTTGCTTTGGTCTTGAACTTGTTGATATGCTTTAGGTGATGAAGCAAAGAGAAGATAACTATCACTGGTCTTTTGCTTTGGAAACCAGACCAACGTCTTTTTGTTTAATCTCTCTTTATTTATTTTATGCCTCATGAAAATTTTATAAAAATGGGGGTTTGATTGTTGTGCAAGGAAATAAAGAGGTTAGGGCTTAAATCATTTTTAAAAAAAAGGACAAGATGTAAATCACAAAAAAAGGATACACTTAAGGGGTGCAAACTGCAACGGACTCAAGCTGCATTAGTGAATAAAAAGCAATTTTTATCAGAGGACGAGAATATCAAAATAATAGAATCACATATCATTTTTTTTATCGGTGCATTCCTCATTGACGTCTATAGAATCACATATTATCATTTGATATGATAACATTAACTCTAGCGCTGAAGGTTCCCAACAGGAGTAGATTGTAATATTTATCATGAGGAATATGGAGTTGACACAAGTGCTATTTACTCTCACCAAACTAACAGGCATACAGATGCACCGAAGAACCAATAGAAAACAACATGCTAACCGCTACCAGAAGAACTTTAGAAGAGCTGCAGTAGTTAATAGTTATAGAAATTCTTTTGTAGTAATATTAAAATTCCAAAACTATCTGGACACTGTTACACTCTATCACACATTTTCTTCCATGCTGAGACAACATCATGTCCATGAAGCTTTGCTGCTAAAGGTTTCCAGCAAGTGTAGCAGTCATTCTTAGAAATAAGGGGTTTCTATAAATACAACTACTAATTTCTTGACACGTACATATGTCACATAATATATTTTTTTCATTTTTTCACATTTCCTTATGCTCTCTATCCGTCTCCTACCCCCCCCCCCCCCCCCACACACACAACCACACACACACACACAAAAAAAAACATACTAACAAACCTTAAATTTGATAGACTTTTATCTGCTCCTTCCGCTCCATTTTCTTGATATAGTGTGGTGGAATTGCTCACCACAGTCATCTTTGCCCCATTAAAGCATGAGCACAAAATTGGTACTTGGAGGTATTAGCACCACCACCGTGGATCGTGCTGATACCTCGGATTTAGCCAAAAGCCTATAATTTAATATTGCCTTTTTGTAGTTTGAAAATTGGGCCTTCGCCGTGGAAATTGAGGTTGGTAAAGCAAGAAAGAGAGTGAAAAAGAGGGGGTGTGGTACTATTGTGTGGCACAAAGCAGAAAGCTTTAGATGGCATGGGGGATTGTGTTCATGGCTTCTCTACAGTTTCCCTCCCTCCCTTCTTTGTGATGTTTGGGCTGTGTTGCATATCTCTTAATAGTTATATAAACCCAAGAAGTTATATGAAACTATTGAAGGACTTTTGCTGGAATTTGGTAAGAAAACAGAGAAAAAGGAGAGAAGCTGTTAGAGGAGCCAACATGGAGGACATACTGCAAAGGATGGAAATCTGACAATGCAATAAGAAAAATGATTATGGACCCACCCAAAGGTGTGACCTAGCAGTCAATGAAGTGAGAGGAGAACATGAGGTCTAAGGTTCAAATTCCAACAGAGGAAAAATACTATTTCTCCCATCTGCGTAAGCTTTGGTGGGCAAGTTACCCAGTACTTGCACTGATGGAGGTAGCAGGTACCCGGTGGAATAGTCGAGGTGCGCAAGCTGGGACCAGGTACCCGATAGAATAGTCAAGGTGCGCACAAGCTGACCCAAACACTAAAGCCATAAAAAAGAAGAATGTGGACCTGCTGAATGGTAAATTTTGGACCCAGGAGTGATGGGTAATTTTAAAGAATCCTTGTTGTTTGGCAACGAAAAAAAATTAGAGTGAATAGATGGTTTTCGGTCAGAGAGAGATGAAAGGAGGAGATGTGGTGGTTGCTGGTGGAGATGGGCAGCGACAAGGAAGGGAGAGAGTAAGTGTGAGTTAAAGAGGCTGCATTTTTAGGAGAAAGGATTTTAGGAGACTTTTAACTTAAGTCAATTTCAGGTCACGGTGTTAAAGAGGCTGTATTTTCTAACTTGCTTTTGGCTTCTCACGTGCTCATATGCACTTTCTCTGTTGTCAACAACCAAGGTGGTAATAGATACAATTTGAACCAGAACAAGGGTTGCACGCAAAGTTTAAGTGTGTACCACAAGTTCAAAGAGGTATTTATGTATTATCCCCCAAAATAACCTAACGATCTTTCTAAATATTTTTCAAAAGCGATGTTAATTGAGTTTGTATGTTGGCTAGAGGATTACAGCCACACAAAATGGTCCCGTAAACTACCTAAGAACATAAAATGCTCTTAAACATGTATATGTGTCAACATCTTAAATAACATTTCACTTAGACAAGACAATGTGGTCATAATGAGAAGATCATTAACAGTTTCTTCATTTTTATTAGGTCAATTCACAGGCAGAGCAGGCACACCATTTAGCTGTTTTACTTCTCTTTTCAATTTGAGGATTAGTTTCATCTTTAGTCCACCTTTGACCAGGATTAGAAAAAAGCAAGGTGAAAAAAGAACTTAATTACTTTCACTCAGTACAAATTTCTGAAACACTAGAGAAAGTATTCAAGTTTGAAGCCTGAGAGATTGAGAAACTTCATCTATTGTGTGAACTACACCTTGAAATTAACTATATAATGATTTTGTCTAGCTAACTTTGTACAGTGAAGCCACTTTATCCTATTTTCTGAATAAACTGCACATAAGAGATTACTTTTGCTGATACTTGTTACAGATGTTAATTTTCTTTTCAAAAAAGAGATTGCTTTTGATGAATCGTGAACTACTTGAAGTTTTATGTTTGCAAGTGCTGGTACTTTATATATAACATAATAATAAGTGGCGCTAAAATTAGAAAGAAGCAAACATATAATTTTGAAGAAGGATCTCTACTTTTTTGAACATTCAATAAGAATAGACTTAAAAAAAAGTGAAACTTCCCACCAATGTTAAAGCATATAGCCATTATCAATCATGGAATGAGAAGTGAATGAGATATATACCTCAACCATGAGGACACCAGGCATGATTGGCCTCTCAGGGAAATGACCAGGAAAAAAATTGTCATTAATTGTCACATTCTTTATAGCCACAGCTGATACTCCCGGATTGTATTCAATCACTCTATCCACTAGTAGAAATGGAAAACTGAAATTCATGCAACTCATATAAGTAACCCCATACATATATATCCAAACAAAGAATTTTAAATAATGTTTGCAATAGAGTTTAATTTTGTACCGATGGGGCAAAATCTCACGAATCTGATTGATATCCATCACAGTAGGAAATGCTGGGTACCCTACAAATAAACCAAGAATCAAACTTTAACACTAGAACAAAAAGAATTTGTTCTCAAACAGTTTCTTTTTTTCGAATTTCTTGTCCAAACACGTTTTCCTTACTTTCTTTTAAAAAAATAAAATAAAAATCTCAAGACACAAAACAAATTCTTTCACAACAATTCCAAGATCAAGGTTCCTAAAAACTACATTTAAACACTCACAAAGAACAATACTAAACCAATCTTTTTCATACTCAATCAAAACAGATGAGAATAAATAGGCTAATGCATAATCAATTCAAACAGATAAGAAAGAATGGGGCCGGCAAATGCATACTCAATTCAATTGGGGTTTCAGATTTGGAAGTTGCATCATTTTCAGGAGAGGCACAGTTGGTGATGAAGCTATTCTTGAAATGGTTTTTCAAGGAATGTGATCTTGAGACAACAAGTGATTGTTTGAGCATTGATCTTTTCAAAGGAAGTGAGCCATTCTCAAGGTTTCTGTGAGAACTGAGAGTGGAGAAGAGAGATTGTGACAGAGCTGCAGAAGCCATTGATGTATGTGTGTATGTGTGAAGGAAGAAAGGTTGTGGGGGGGG